ATGCAGCCACGTTATTTCTGAAATATGGGTACTAAAATTAATAAAATGACAAGTAGAAAAAACAAAAATCTGGAGACGTGTAGCACAGTGGCAATACGCCTTTAAGTAATGCTGTTAGATACTAATAAAAGGCATGAAAAATAACTTGTTTTTATTTTGTTGAGGGTCTCTTCAGGTCACAATTCTCTGTTGTGTATACATTTAAGTGACATACTTTATTAATAATTAAAAAACATATTATTACTGATACCAATGGCAATGACATGTATAACTATAAGAATTCTTTTTAATTTTCCTTTTAAGAAAGGAATCAGAAAAATGACAGTTGGGTCTGAACTCATGGTTATGGATTATTTTCTGATTTGGGTAAATAAAACTACATCTACCTAACATGTAATGTCCTTTTCAAACAAACACCCCATGTACCTCAGTAGTACCACTGTACCTGTCTTACATTTTACAAAAAAAAAAAAGCCGTATTTTTCTCATAAGCTGTACTGAATGGCACCTTTATTCTCTGGATTAAGTGACACAACTGGTGCACATGTTTGAGTTAGGAAGCAGGAAGATACCACCATTTGATGATTTTGTTATATAATGGTAGGAATTTATATTAGATGCCTAAAACCAAACTTTTTAATGCAACAACTGATTTACTATAATCTACTTTTGTAAGGCAAACCATTTAAACAATGATACTATTGGAAAAACAATCAGTAGACAAATCAACTATGTCATAATCTTACAAATACTTAATGGTTCAAATGAGAAAACTAGACACAGTATATTTAATGTGCCACCTGAAAAATGAGGTCTACAGTCCCCCAACAGAGCATATGAACTAGATTTTGCTGCACAAGGACTCTGAAAATGGTTCAAACATCTTACAGTCACTTGGATTCTGAGATATAAATCCAAACACAATACCTAAAGAAGCTTATGTATGATGCTAATTAAAAATTTAAGAATTTATAGGGTCAAAGATGTTCATTTTACATCTGTGTAGAAGAGTGCTGTGATCCTTCTTAGCTCTTCTAGTTTAATCAATAGTTCTACACCAAAGCCAACTACAACCTCCACCCAACCCATGAATTTGGCTTTAAACTCAAAAGAAACAAAGTGGGGCATCAAGGTCTCTTTACTTATATCCTGGACTATTCAAGTAAACAGTCACTCTGGTTGAGCAGACTAGCTCCCACGGTCACCTTGCGCCAGTTACACATGCAGGTAGTGTGACTGCACCATCATCTTTGTGCCCACAGCGCTGAAAGGCTGAAGCAGGAGGGCACCATCAACTCTATAGGGGTGTCAGCAAGAAAACAAGCCAATGTTCTTTATAGCAGCATTATCTATTATTTAATCGTAAGTTGTTATTTTAAACGAATTGTGTTTGGCTTTAAATAGCAGAGATGAAGAAATAATGAGTTAGGTTAGAGTCACAAATTATGGATATGGGCTTAAGAAAAACAAAGACTTTACAAAAATCACAGAGGGAGAACTAATATAGCTGTTACATAACAGGGCTATAAAAACCTTTGTAAAAAGCTTTTCTCTTTCTGGTACCTTTAAGGCACTGATCATACTACTACTGTTCTTGTTCAGAGGTCAGCAAACTTTTTCTATCAGAACAGGTAAGTACTTTGAACTTTGTGGGCCATATGGTTTCTGTCACAAACTACTCAATGCTGCTGTCGTATATCATAAATAGCCATATACAATATGTAAACAAATGGGCATGGCTGTGTTCCAATAAAACTTTACAAATATGAATGGTAGGCCAGATTTGAAGCAATGGCTGTCATCTAATCCCCCTTCTGTACCACACTGTCCAACAGTAATAAAACATGAGCTACATATGTAATTTAATATTTTCTAGTAGCTACAGTAGAAAAAGAAAAACAGGTGAAAATTTAATAATATATTTTACTTAATCCAAAATGTCATTTCAACATGTAATCAATATAAAAAACTAATGAGGTAATTTATAGATATATATTTTTGGTAGTAAGTCTTCAAAACTGTTGTGTATTATACACAAGACTATGTAGCATAGCATACTAAACATATTTCAAGTGCCACACGTGGCTAGTGGCTAACAAATTGCATCATATGTTCTGGATCTTCTATGCTGGGATTTCTACAAGTACTCTGGAGTTTAGTGACACAGTGTTGTGACTTGGTCCTTGAAAGATGGAGACTATATGTCCCTACTGAGATAGGACAAGGGATTACATAGGTTGAGAAGAAACAATTGGCCCCAGACACTTTGAGATGGACCAGGATTCTAGGGCGCAAACTGGTAACCAGGGCAATGATACAGTCAGATGACTTTAGCTTCAGCTGCCAATGCAACAAAATCTAATGTGAAAAATTACTTGATTTAGACCACAAAACCATCAAGTTGTGAATGTAATATTGTAATCTTTGGCCTTAAATAAGGAATGCTAATTGTCACTAATAGAGCTAGTTTTTAGCACTTTGACTACAGGATTTAAACCATGTAATGCAAAAATGTGATTCTGAAGATAAAATGAAGAAGTGTGTAAAAAGGAAAAGATCTTCAAAATTAATTTGCATTTTTAAAGACAATTAAAACAATCTAAATGCCTTTTCAATTATCTTCCTTTAACACAGTTTAATGGTAGTCAGGAGTTTAACAAGTTACCAAAGGGCAATCACAAGCCTTATTTTAAACCTTGGGAAGTCCTTCATTATTTAAACCCAAATTTCTAAGAGATTAAATCAGTATTTCTAAGACAAGAATAGATATAACCTTTAGTTAATAAAACTTAGAGGCAAGTGTTTTTAACAAAAAGTTTATTACCAAAATACAATATTAAAGTCAATACATGACAAACTCCTGTAAAGCAAAATAAATTATTCTAACATTATACAGTATTTCCAAAGGTAGTTAAAGAAGCACTATAGACCTTGCTTCACTGTTTGATGAACAGATAAACTGTTCTACCATGAACACAATCCTAGAGTTTTAGGCTTTAAGGCATGCAGCTTGAAGTGCAGGATAAATTTACAAAATGCAAATCATCCTATTTTAATAAGATACAGTGTCAGAATTAACTGTAGTCTTTACATGTCAGTGTTCCAGAAATTTTTAGACTTTGGCTAGAGAAGCAATGCCATAGTGTTACACAATACTTATTTCTTAAAAAAATACTTGTATTCATGTTCATGAATATCAAACTCAAATTTCTATTAAATATATTTTATAGAATATTACTCAGAGCACCTTCTGTACAATAAAAAAGATTAAATAAATGTCTATGAAAACTAAAAATATAGTAAGTTTCAATAGAGAAGCCTGCTTGTCTTTGTCAAGCCAAGTACATTGTGGGAAGATACAATGTAAACACGGGTGCCCACCATTTGCTTTATGAGAAAAGACAGAGAAAATAACGAAGCCACCAAGTTGTCTCAAATAGGATGAAAGACCTAGAACAAAGGCTTCATCAGTGTCACTATATTGCACTGGCTGGACACAGAACTTAAAAGCCTACAGATCAACTGGAATATAGGCATGGTACTATTAGAACACTGGGGTTACCAACGATATTCTGGATTATTAGAGAAAGAGAGAAAATGATAGATCCCTGACAAGTATTATTTATAATGATCAGAATGCATCATCTTCCCCCTCCCTACCTCTGACTTACCCATTAAGTTTATTTTAAAAACTATTTTCACTATCAAATCTTAGTGTTCACAGTGGACAAATACTATGAGCTTTATAGGGCAAAAGATCTAGTCTGAATAAATAAAATGTTATTCCTACAAAGGGAATTCCTGCTATTTTAATATCTATCTCTTGTACAATTAAAATTGCATATTTAGTCTTCATTATTACTTTTAGAAATACTCAATTATTCTTAGCAGTAGAGACACTGTTAACTTAAGGCTTGCTGCAAAATGATAATGGGAGGGTACAGAATATCCTTGGTATAATGTTCTTCCTACAGGTCAGGAGAAAGCTTCTGAAAACATTCTAGGCCAGAATCAGATGAACTTTTAAAGGTTTTGAATTTCTGGGTTAATTTTTTCCCATGAGCTAGGGATATTTTAAATTCATGATTCCAAATGGAAACTTAAAGAACAGTTGATGGAAGAGGTTTAAGGAAAAGAAGAAAGGAAATTAAAAACAAATTCACTGTTGAAATTTTGTGGGGTTTTTTTTTTTTTTTT